TTTGGCACTAACACATGGAGCAAGCCAGTAACTAGTCTCACACTCTGTAGTGAATGTAACATCTGGAAAAGAGGACAGTCCTGTGGCTCTTGGAAAACTGAAGGGTCTGAGACATTTCATTGCAGAGAACTATCAAAGTAACATTTGCATGGATAAAAGCTGACAGCCTAGTGGCAGTGGCCCTCATCCTGACCCTTTGGAAGGGGAGGAAAATCTAAGTTTGTTGTCAAGTTTGAAATATGCTCATTCCTTGTGAACTCCACGTTACTTGGATGCTATTTGAGCCAATGGTCTTCTGGGGCTTTTGAAAAGTCTTAGAGAGGTGCAGCAGCTCTCTGCTAGTCTCTCTCACACCTGGATGTGGAGCATATTCTCCTGCATATGGCAATCTGTTTCTGCCCTATGCTCTAGCCTACTGTTGCACATAGCAGATCCTGGGAGTACTTGCAGGTTGAATGCTGATTTGTCTTTGAGTGGCTCTTCACATAGAAGAGATAGCTAGGCGATACAATAAGGGTAGTGAGGATTCACCATTGTTCAGGAAGATTAGATAGCTTTGTATCCAAGAGTGTTGCAATGTTGCCATCAGAATTTCATTCCCGTAATCAAAGACCCATAAAACTACCTTCTCCTTTACTGATACAAATATTCCTTAGAGGTTGAAAGGATAAGAATAGTGCATATTGCTGTACCCTATTTTTCTTTATTTTGTGAGAAGCATCTTAACTATCCAAAAGATCTTCATGGAACTGTCTCTTGGGGTAGTATAGAGGACGAGGTGGATGAAAAGTAGGTAGTTACACTGAAGAAAAGGATACAGAGAGGTAGAGAAAGCCCTAGACATGCTCTGTGTCTGCCGAAGCAAGCAGCAGACACAGGACTGCTGCTGTAACAAGCACAAACCTCCCCCTGCAATTATTCCTGCATCTTAGGTGACAGGACATTAGTTACAGGGACGTGAGTGACAGTGCTAGGTGAGCCTCCTCCGCATCCATTGATGGCAGATAATGGATGATTACAAAGGCAATTATCAATGAATTATCTGTGATTTCTCAGGCACTGCATGAAGTGCTACACAGACATCATCATATTTGTTTATTTTGGGCAGAAAAACACAAAAGGCTAAAGGTATGTCCGGCTGCATTAGAGAAAAGAGCAAACTTTCCTATCTATGCAGCATGACAAAAGAATGCAGTAGATGCCTAATTTTTAAAGAATTTATTACAGTAAAAGACACATTGCCACGAATCCCCCTCAACCTGCTCTCCCTCGCATCTAACACACCTATCCTATTCTTCCGCCACTTTCTGAAGCAGTTCTGCAAGTCCTCTTTTATGTCTTCAGATGCCATTAGAAATGTTTAAGATATTTTGAATTCTTAGACTTTTAGAAATAGTGAAATAAATACACGCTGTATTTCAAGTAAATTTTATGAACATAAAAATAACAAAAACATAATGAACACTGGTTATGGTGGCTCACCCCTCTATCTCAGCCACTTTGGAGGCTGAGGCAGAAGGGCTGAAAGTCCTAAACCTGTCAGGACAATTCAGTGAGACCTCGTCTTAAAACAAAAAGTGAAAGAGTTGGAGTGTAGTTCAGTGGTATACCACTTCTCTTGCATGTGAAAACCTGGGCTCATCCGTGGTGCCACAAAAAATAAATACACAAATGTATGTAAATGTAAACATTAAACTCATATTTGTAATACAAATTATAAACAATAAAGTAAATATTCCTAACACGACCCTGCAGATAATGGAAGAAAATATAGTCATGAAAACCTGACAATTGTATTTGACTTTTAAAAAAATGTATGACATTGAAAAACAGATGTGTGCCAGGTGTGGTGGTCCATGCCTGTAATTCCAGCACTCAAGAGGCTGAGGCAAAAGGATCAGTGTGGATTCAAGACCAGCCAGGGCTACAAAGTAAGCTCAAGGCCAGCCTGGACTGCTTAGCAAGACCCTGTCTCAAAAAGACAAAAAACAAAAACAAACAAACAAAAAACCAGATGTTTGTTACATTGTTATTATGCCCAAGAATATTTTCATACAAAGTTTCTGACCTTCCTAGTATTATGCTTTCGTTTTTCTCCTTATCTTTTGTATTTTTACTAGAAGCTTTTTATTTTTGATTACTCAGAAGCTTATATGAACCATGTTATATCTATAAAACTAAACTAACAGCATCCAAAGCCAGGTATACTGGCACATGCCTGTAATCCCAACACTCTGGAAGTCTGAGGCAGGAGAATTACAAATTTAGGCTCAACTTGGCTACTTAGTGAGTCCCTATTTCAAAAAATAAGTAAAGAACTGGTGACATAACTCAGTGCAAAGGCCCCAGGTTTAATTCCTGTACCAAAAAAGCAAAACAACAACAAAAATCCCAACAATTTCAATCACATAAAAATCTCCAGACTTTTACTTTTCCCCTGATCTTACATTTTCTGCTTTGACGTCATGCTTTAGATCTTTTTTGTATTATCTATCAATCTACAACTTATTGTAGCTTTGTCTTTTAATACTTATGTCTTTTAACTTGAGAGTTAGAAGTGCTTTATATACTATCATTACTTCTGTATTTGACTATATATTTCTCCTTACAGGAGATTTTCTACTTGCATTTCTATACTTTGCATCTTGTTTCTTAGCTCTCTTTAGTTTCAAGTCAAAGACCTCACTTCAGCATTTTCCTAAAATCTATCTGGTGATTGATTTCTGTAGCCCTTTTTGCCTAGGAATATCTTTATCTTTCTTTCATTTCTGAAAGATATTTTTGCAAGATATAGTATACGTGGCTGAGGTTTTTAATTTTTTTCAGCCCTTTGAATATCGTTGTATTTCTCATGGCCTACAAGTTTTCTGCTGAGAAAATGTGCTGATAGCCTCATGAAGTGACAGCACTCTCCTGTATGTGACAACACTCTTTTCCCTTGGTCCTTTCAAAATGTTCTCTTCATCTCGGACTTTTGTGAATTTGATTATGTTGACTTAGAATATTCTTGGGGGTTGATCTTTCTTGGAATCCTTTGAGGTTCAGGAGGTTCAATGTCCATATCTCTACCAAGATTTAGGAATTTCTCTGCTATTATTTCTTACAAGAAGCTTTCTCCCCTCTTCTCTCTTTTCTCCTGAGACCTCCATATTCATATATTATTTACTTGATGGTTCCTTTAGGTTCCTGATGCTTTCTTTGCCCCTTTTCATTTTTTCCTATAATTAATTCTAAATGTCTTCAGTTTTATTCATTCCTCTTTCTGCCTAGGTGAATATCTATTGTATTTTTAATCTTTCATTGTACCTTTTCAGGATTGCTGTTTGGGTCTTTTGTGTGATTTGTTTGTCTGTATTTCTTTATTAGATTTTTAAATTTTGAACATACATAATTTTCCATACATTTTATTGAGTTGTTTTATCATCTTTTATGTCACTGAGCTGCTTTAAATAGATTAGTTGGAATTCTTCACCAGGCAATTTGGAGATTTCTATTTCTCTAGGTTCAGTTCTTATTAGTTTCCTTTACTAAGCTTTAATAAGGTTTTAATAAGGCTAGTTGTTTTAGCTTTATTAGTTTCCTTTAGTTCTGCAGTGTTTTCCTGATTCTTTATGACCTGTACAGCTTTACACTGGAGTCCATACATTTGAAGAGGCAAACGCCAATCTTTATAGACTAGTTTTGGCAGGTTAATAATTTCTGTGATTCCTAGCCGACAGCATTGCATCTGGGTCATGCGACTACTTGCTGGATCCTCAGTAGATTCATAGTGGACTGATTCATTATCAGGATCTTGGATTTTTCTGGTCCTTCAGAAGACTCGACTGCCTCCACTGCCTTAATCAGTAGGGTTGGTCCTGGTGAAGGGCTTGCTTTAGGTTCTGTGGTTGGAACAACTGATGGTGGGCCAGTTACCAGGTAGGTACATAGGTGTGGTCCCTCCAAGTCTCTGGATGGGTTTGGGGGGAGCAGAATGCTGCTGGACCATGGCTGAGTGTGGCTGGAGCTAGGACACAGCTGCTTCAAGATGAACAAAGTTAGGCTGAGATCAGTAAATAGGCCTCAGGGGGCACATCTGCTGGCAGGTCTCTGACTGGGCAGAATTGCATCTGAACTGAGCTTGGAGGTGAAACAGAACTGGGTTTCAAGGACACTTCAAGATCTGAAGTGGGACCAAGGTCAGTGGGAACACAGACAGTCTTATCTTCCTGCAAGTCCCTTGGTGGGCAAAACTGCTCCTGTCAGATGACCCGTGAGAGGGGTAAGGCTGAGCTATGGGGCATGTTAGGATTTGCATGAGACTGAGGTTGGCAGCCTAACTCCAAGAGCATGAGTGGTAATGACTCTCAGTGGGTGTGTGGGAAGGTGGGACTGCTTTTAAACCACAGCTAAAGAGGCGTTAGCTGAGTGACACGGCCAATTCAGCTCCTACAACTATAACTAAAGCCAGTAGACCTGTAACCAGAGGCAGACTGGTTTGGTGGTTGGACCAAAGCAGAACAGATTCTACCTAAATCCACAGTGGAATGAGACCACTTGTGGGCATATAGCCCAAATCACAGTTGGTGAGCCTGCTACCTGGGTACAGGCCTCCCCTTGAAAACAGCCTTCTTCGATCTTGGGCTGCACCAGTGTTGTACAATTTCCTGTCCACTTTGTAGAGCACTCCCAAAGACACTGATTGATGAATGGCTGCCAAATTTTTTGCTGTAGGGGAAGAGCTACCAGATAGAGACCTCCTGTTCTCTTGTCTTACTTTTCACTATTATTATTAGCATGTTTGCTAAAGTTAGAGTAATATATCATACTTTGTGTTTTATAGAATAATACTGTTCTGTATCACCTGGTACTTTAGCATATATTTTAATATAATTATTTACAAAAAGTCATGTGCAAATTACAAAAATGACATCACAAGACAGCAGCTTAAATACAAATGAAAGTGTTTCTGGTGGCACTAGCTTAATGTCTGATTTTTAATGTTGCTTTTTCCCGCCCAGCAATTCTTTGATGTAGAGGAAGAGAAAACTGCTTTGCAAGATGCAGAAAATGTCAAATTGGGTGTTTTGTCAAGAAAACTGAAAGAGAAAGAAGAAATCATTGAGGAATTAAGAGATGAACTAGAACAATGTGAAAGATTTCAAAAATTTGTAAGTTTCAAGGCAAAAAATAATTAACTTTAATACAGGTAAAAAAAAGTTATAGATAGCTAAAAACTTGGGTTAAGAAAGAATGAAAGTGAATTGATGTATCTTGGACATCTCTATAACATAAGCCAGTCTGACACTTTACTGTTTAACAGCATATTCTAGAAAACTCACAATAATTATGAACAAGAGCAATGTAATTGTTCTCAATTTTTACTTCTAATGGACACAAAATAGCCTACACCTACTGCAAAAAAAAAAAAAAAATCATTCTAGAAGAACATGAAAATGGATTTATGTTGTAATTCTAAGAACTTCTACCCTTTTTGCAGTCAGGATAGCTTAGAAGACATAAACCTAGTTTCAAGTCAGGGTTTCTAACTTGGAACAGAATGACCTTTAAATAAAGATATTGGGAAATAAAATAAAATGGCCCTACTTCTAATTTTCCTCATTGTAGTAGAATCCAGGAACTGCTTTAATGTTTAGTTAAAAGACTAAACCAAACTAACCAAAAATGAAGGGTAGCAAAGCAGACAGCCTAGACGTCTATCCTGGAGGAGTTTTTAAGGGCCTCTAACCACTTAACAACTTACTCTAACTTTAGCAAACATGCACTATGCACGCCCGGCAGTGCATTTGTTTACACAATGACTATTCTGAGCATTGTGCAAGCAAGTGTCATTTCAACCACTCTGTTCTTTTTTTTTTTTTTTTGGTACCGGGAATCAACGCATGTATCCATGCTTGCCAGGCAGGCATTTATGCCACTGAGCTAAATCCCCAACCCCCAGCCAATCTAGTCTTGTATGAATCAATTTCATAAAATTATTGCTTTTATAGTTCCTGTTATCTTATAAAAGCTAAAGAAAATGGCATCTTTGGTCATCCTATATTTCAATAATTGGACTGATAAGTTTTAAAGTGTGGGTCTTGAGAGCAAGATTAGTTTCACCTCATGTTGGCTCTGAGGTACTAGCTGTCTCAGGCCCAGCCTCAGCACATACCAAAGTCGGTTTAATTCTTAGGTTTTATGAGCAAAAAGCTGCCTGGGCCCTGGGTGTGCAGCTGCGTGGCATAGCACCTGCAGTGGACTCAGTGCTCAGTATAGCAAGAAAAATCTGCTTGGTTAAGACAGGCTGACAGAGATGCCAGGACCCAGAAGGAATAAAAATTTATTGAATTCCAGCTATAGTTGAGTCTCCCAAAATGCTTGGGAAAAGAAGTATTTCAAATTTTTAAAAAATTTACATTACATGGGCTATCTTGGCAATGGAACCTAGTTCTAAACAAGAAATTGATTTGTGTTTCATCTACACAGTTTCTGTAATATTTTAATATTTTGTGCATTAATCAATGCTTTATAGTGTGGGATTTCCCATTTGTGGCATCACATGGTGCTCCAGAAGTTTCTGGTTTTGGAGCATTGCAGATTTTCAGATCAAGGCTCCTCAACCTCGGGCAGGTACCAGGTGCCCCATCAGTAGTTTCTCTCCTCATTCTCACAGCTCAGTTTACAGAGGAGGAGACAGAAAGAGGCTGGTGTCTAACTTTCCCATGGGCATGCAACTAGTAGCTGTAAATATAGCATGTGAACCAGTCTACTTCAATCCAAAACCCTTACAAGGAAGCAGAGATTTACACTCTATTGTAAGAGTTAAAAGTTATCATGGATACATAAATTATGCTATCATGTTGTATATTTCATGTTATATTACTATACTAATACACATGTGTGCACATGGAAATGTTGATACATACATATGCACAATAAAAGTCTGGGTAGTTACATGGTGAAAAGTTAACACTAGAAAGAAACACTCTAGGTTGCTCTTTACATCAAGTGAAAGCTATAGTTTTTCTAGTTCCCAGATTAGTGTTCTTCTTTACCACTCAAAATGTTAGAAAAGATGAAGAAATGAATTCAAACCATTCTAAAAGACCATGTTTACTAACCAACAAAGGAATGTTTGCTTTGTCAATCTATCAGAATTCCTTTGTTAATCTATCAGAAGCATCTTTTAAGCAATGTAGTATTAAATATATCATGAGTGTAGATCAAATAAAATTGAACATTTTTATATGTCCTGATTTCATTGGAGTATTAACCACATCAAATTTCTTTAGTCTTTTCCTGACTGTATATCTACCCTTATTTTTCTCTTTTTTAAAATTTTACTTTGAAGAGCATAAAACCAAGGATAATAAAATAGAATAAAAACAAACCAGTGTAGGTGATACAGGACTTCAAAACATTACAAGATCAACGATAGTTACCATAATGTCTTCTGTTGTCTTCAAAATAGCTGCAGATATATTTGGACATAATAAAAATCAAACAGAACAGAATAGAATAAGAACAATAAAACAAAACAATGAATGCAATAAAGCACTTCAAAACAAGCCAATAGTAAATCCAAAATTACTACCATAACATGTCTTGCTGTCTTTTAAATAACTGCTCATGCCATCAAATTTGACATGATCAAACAAAACAAAAGAAAATAAAACCCAACCCAACAAAACAATGGAAATGATATAGGACTTCAAAACAAGAGGAAATCAAGAATGGCCACAACCCTCAGAAGGGGATCCCCCAGATGCCACACTGTGTACCGCTATCCTCTGATCCTATGATCAGACCACTGGCCCTAGACCTGCAATGTTACTGAAACACCAGAGCGCTACAGGCTTCCAATTACATTTCACCTAGATAGCATCATCACAGCCTGTGATTCTCTGGATCAGCCAGTCGCTTATGAGGGTAGGGAGTTGGTACTTCTTGTTTGCCAGCCCGCATGATGGAAAGGGCTGGAGTCTGGCTGTCCCCAGTCCTGCAGCAGACCATGCATGGCCCTGCTTCCCAGGTGGGCTTGCCTCCTGGTGTGGCCCTGGTCTCTTTTCCCACCATCCACGAATGGTGCTGACTCACGGGGAGAGGCTTGGGTCTGGTTGTTCCCAGTCTGGCCATGGCCTGCACATGGTGCAGGTTCCCAGATGGAGCTTGCTTCTTGGTGGGGCCATGTTCTCTCTCTCCTACCCTTATTTCTCTTTTCTTTTTTTTTTTTATTGGTACCGAGGATCGAACTCACGACTGCACGCTTGCAAGGCAGGAGCTTATGTTGCTGAGCTAAATCCCCGGCCCCTTTTCTCTTATTTTTCAAAAAAATAATTTGACAGAAAAGACTAATGTCTATCAGAGCTAGATTTTATTCCTGCCATGACCAAACATATCTACCATAGTTGTCCCAAGATAAGTTTAGTCTATTTAGTTCTCATTTATGAAAAACGAAGTTACACTTAGACTTGGCTAAAGTAGAGTTAGGATAAGTATACCAGATGTATTGAATGTGAATGGCTTTGAGTGCTTCAAAGGAAAATTAGAATATACATTCTAGTTATTAAGAGGAATTTCAGATGTTCTTATGGCCATTGGGTTTATGTCTCATAAAATGTACAGAATAGAACTTTAGGTGTCACAAATATCCCAGTTAGCAAGAAGGCCCCTTACACTTTACCCTTTCCACACCTTTACAGCTCTCAGTGATCTCCTAGACTGGTTAGAGATTCTGTCTGGATGTTCTGGGGCAGGAATAAGGGTGGGTAGTGAACAGCAAGTGAGAGACTACCCTCCACTCATATGTAAGTAATTTGTTCTCTGGATCAGGCTGGTATTCAGGACAGCTTGGATACCACACAGTAACTTGCCTACCTGGAGATTACATGAGATCCTTTGTTAGCATCCTTTGTTAGCACCCTAAGAAGGTGAGGTAATTCTAACCAATGAGAGGCAGAGATACCTCCTGGGGAATCCAATAAAATGTATGGCCCTCAACTCCTAAGTGTGAAGCACACAAATGTGTTTCAAGGATGTAGACCTGAGTGCCACAAAAGAAGTCATGGGTTATATCAAATAAACTAGTAGAAAACACTTTTCAAAATCTACAAACAACCTTTCCTAATATACCCTACCACCTCTAGATTTTATATATATGTATGCATGTTTGATTTTTATACAACTGCCCCCTCTAGTGGCACAAAATCCCCTTGAGACACCATCTAATTCTAATCTGTGATTCTATTTGGAAGGCAGAATTTTCAGGAACAATTAAATTTTTCAAAGTAGCACTGGAAATAAGTTGAAATAGACATGCTTTAGTTGGCTTATCTAAAGTGACCTATTCTTATCTAAATCTATAAGAATGTTATATAAGAATAACTTACCTAGTTATTCTTACTGATAAATTACACAATAACTTTTTTAGCTATAAGGAGTTGTAACATCTCTCAGATTGTTTCTGAAAGAAATATAATAAGAATGTAATAGGAAAGGACAAATTCAACAAGCAGATTCTTTAAATTATATTTCTGACAAAATGAAAATCGGGAAAGGAAGCCCTACAAGTTTCAGAGTTCTGCTCACTTGTTTCCAGGTGAAAGCATCCTTGACCTTCAGTTTTCCTGCGAGCGAGTTTGTATAAAGGATGAGATTCACACTTTTTATTCTGTAGAAACCAGTGTAACCAGTGATATATGTGCACCCATGTTTATAGCAGCATAATTTGTAATACCTAAATCTCGGAAACAACCCTATTGCCCATCAACTGAGAAATGGGTGGAAAAAATGTGATACTTTTATACAATGCAGTATTACTCAACTCTAGAGAAGGATAAACTTCAGTCTTTTATAGGTAAACTATGCAGCTATACTTGTAAGTGAAATAAATCACTTATGTGTAAATATCATATTGTCTCCTTAGTGTAAGAAACTGAAAGAGTAAATAAGATCCAAAATGTACAAAGATACTGTGAAAGAGAAAGACACTGATCAAAAGGAAAGAACAATGGGATGGGGGGAAAGAGAAAAAAGGAAGGGAAAATAAAAAATATGTATCTATAATAGCTAAGATAACTACACTAATAATTTCTATTAATTCATTGAAAAAAATAGTTTGTACTTATATTGTTTGATCAGTTTTCCATGCCTATCTCTTGTAATCTGAGCAACCACTTTGAAGATAACATTATTTATCTCCTATTAACTTGTTTTGAAATTCTGTATCATTGTTTTTATTTTTTTCTCTTAAAAAAAAGAAAGAAAAAAGGAAACCAGTGTAAGTTGACTGCATACCATTGTTAGGTATCAGGCTAGCAGGTTGTCCTTTGTGTAGTACCCTTGATAATTTATAAAAGAGGATAGCCTGTCAGAAGGAATGTGCGTGTATGTGTGTTGTGTGTGTGCACATGTGTGCGCACATGTTTTCATTTCCACCAGAGTTGCTGTACTGGATAGAATTTTCATTTTTCCTTCTTGCCCCAATGTGGATGCACTGTGTGGCCATCACCCACCTCCCACCCTCTACTGGTGGAGGTGCACACACACACAACAGAGCTATCATTCAAGAGTGGCATCTCTGCAGGGCTGCGCTGCCCCAGTGTGCCACTTTCCTGGTTGTCACTCACTGGGGAAGCACCTGCTCTCCTCTGTGACTGTCATGAGGCACGAGCGTGCATCTCAACCCTGCTCCTCCCCCAGCATCAAATTGAGATGTCTGAATACTGTACAGGCGGCCTGCAGGACTGAGATGCTGGCCTCGCAGGAGGGTGACTGCTAAGAAAGCATAGAAAGGGCTCTGACCCAGGGCTTCTCAGACCCCACTGTTCCTGAGTCACCTGCAGGTCGTAATAAGATGCACACTCTGGTATAGTAGCTCTGGGCTGGAGTCTGAGCCTTGTCTAGTAAGTTCCCAGATGATACTCAATCTCCTGATCCATGAACCACACTTTACGTAGGAAAAGTCTGGATTATGCTGTCTTTGCCAAAATCTTCTCTAGAGATTAAACCTGGGATTCTGAAACCTGAAAACAGTGACACTGTGCATCTTATAAATATTCACAAGAGACACAGTGCATATGCCACCAGCTAGAGTCTTAGTTTTCATAATATTATAGAAAAACTTGAGAATAGAAATTTCTTTTTAAATTTAAAATTCCAGTCTAATCATGGATCACCCACAGTCTCTCTAGGGTATCATGTGGTTGTAAATAGCCATCTCCGGTTAACCGTCTTTTAATGATCACCGTCCTACGCAACCTTGTTTTATTAATGCACTTTATTTTAAAAGCGTCTCAGTTTAAGCAAGCCAAAAACTGGCGGTGTGGGCAGATGGCAGAAAAAACACCACCACAAAACCTGCCACTCAGAGTGCAACAGGGCCAGAGCAGCCCAGAACTCCCCTTTGTTCATTTCGCTAATGAGTGTCCTTCCTGTGGGCGGCTGAATCCTTAATTACCTGCAGTTCCTAAAACCGACAGATGGTGGGGACAGAGCTAAGGGTTAACCACGCAGGAGCTCGGCTATGGAGGAAACCCCTCCTGTAGGTCTTCCCTGGGTCCCACAGAAAGACTCTTAGCATACTTAGGACTTAGCTGCTGCCAAATGTACCTTTGCCTTTCAGTAGTTTAGTCATCTAAACAGTTCTATACTTTCTGATAATGGGCCCTCATGCCATTTTCTGTGGATTTTCTTACTCTGTCCCTGTTAGGAAATGATTGCTTAAGCCTCTTAGACCTCATGTTCGCTTGTTTAAAAAAAATCCTTTGAGTTTATTAACACATTCTGTGATGGTCTCAAATTGAACAATGTGAGACAAAAAATTAATGACTGGGATTCTTCCTTTATTAGCACAATAGACTTTTTAGTACTCACTAAGAATGAATTGGGCTCAAATAAATGAAATGCAGTGGTGAATCAAAACCTTAAAGATTTGTAGCTGGGGTGTAACTCAGCGGTGGAGAACTTCCCAAGCATATATGAGGCCCTAGGCTTGAGCCCCAACACCATTCTCCTCCCCACACAAAAAGCTTGAAAATTTGTGATTGAGCGTGGTGTGGCATATTTTAACAACAGAGTCTCAGTACTGCTCGACATAAATGCATATAATTTCATTAAAAAGTCACTTGTTTTGTAAAGGATTTACTAATGTACTATACAATACTTCAACCACTTACTTTTCTTTTAAACCATTATAATACAGGGGGAAATATTTTAATAATTTCTTCACCAATATATCTAAAGTGAAATACAAGCAAAGTTCCAAAAGCAAACCTGTATATTGGAAGAAATATTTTGTTTTTGAGGGTACATTATTCTGATTTGTTTGTAATCATGTCATTATTGCAAAAAGGTCACTAGTCAAAAGTGCCTGTAGTAATTTCAAATCGAGACATGTAGAATTTTCTCTTTTAACATAATAATGCAATTATGTTAATATTTTTGAGATTGCATCATTCATTTAATATTTTACCACGATGAAGTATAAAATTCATCAGCCTCCCCAAACCATTATATCTTAATTAAAATATATGTATATACGTATGGCAGTAAAAGCTAGACGACCATAAGGAAGTATATTCAGATGTTTTCAATAGCTTTTAAACAGACAAGAAGAAGAAGAGGGGAAAAAAAGAGTAGCTGTCCCAATAAGCTTCTATCGCTAAGAAAAAGCCTCTCCCATAATGGACATGGCAAGATTTAAACAAAAGACGCACATAATAAAAATGTAAATGAGTTTGCTTTACTAAAACTATAACTTTAAAGTCTTTTGTTGCAAGTTATCCTGAAACCTTCTTACAAGGTAATCACTGTTTGCATAGAGATTTAAACCGAAGTCTTCAATAGCATTCAACGCCGGCACAGTCCCGTGTGACAGGCATGCAAAGCCATGTTAATGTTCAGAATATGAATTGCCTCTGGGTGGCTCCTCCACCCAGCAGAAAACCAACTGTGTGCATATCCGCGCGCCTGATGGGCGCCGTGCGGCTCCCAGCCTGAAAACGTCACCGCTTTGACATGCGATGTGCTCCTCGCGACACTGGCAGGGCTGACACTGGGAAATGCCACAAAGGCAACAAGCCCCCCTCCTTAGCCTTGCACTTTGCCACCCCCTGGCGCTGCCCGCCCGCGGTCCCCCAGCCTGCCTAGTTACCGCGGACAGCACTTCAGACACACAGAGGGAAGGGTGGGTGGAGGGGCCCAGCTGCCTCCCCGACACAGCCTCCGTAATGAATTGATGTGAATGATGGGGGCGCATGAACAGTATGATATGCATTATTCCTGTCAATAAAATGTCCCCATGTGCTGGGGTCTTTGTACAGAATGTACTGCAGCCTTTCTTCCTGCAAGCTCTGTTTGGTCTCCTTCCTTTTTGCTATTCATATTATAAGTGTGTAATAGAATTCAGAAAATTATATGATAGCTCTTCTGTATCTGCATTGTCCTAGTGTTGCATATTTAAATCTGCGGCTCGCTGCTTGGCGATACGGAATTCCCTGTCTTTCAGGACTCCTTTTCCGAGGCCAGCTCTTCCAAAGCAAACTTAGAAAGAGAAAGCTGGGAGTACAGAACGGAAAATGAGAGACTGCTCAAAGTCATTTCAGATCTTGAAGAAGAAATCAAAGTCAGTTTAAAAGAGAATTCAATATTAGGTAATACTTTAAAACCATTATTTTTAAGAAAAGAAATGGGCACATAAAATTTATTGCTATGTTAGTCTTTTCCACATATCTTCTTGCTTGATTGCTTAAAGATCAGTTTGATAGCGATCTGTGCTTTTCTTTTAAGAGAGCATTCCTTGCTTAGAGCAAAGGACTTACGTGTAATTGTATGCCTGGACCACGTCGCGTTAATTTAGAGTGTTTTGTGTAAGTCAGATGTTGGCCTCTGCAAAGCAATGTGCTAACCACTGTTCTGCTTCCCTTAGAAATATTATTAACAGAAAATTTTCATGATTTATTTCAAATGCCAGCTGATCATCTAAAGTATAGCATTTACAACCTTAAGTGTACTCATTTGGATATGCTTTATAGAGAAACACAGTTGACCCTTCTGCAAAAGCTGCTTACTATTTAATTTTCCTCTATTTTTTGACACAAACTTTTGGTATAATTTTTATTTGTCTACTTTATATCCTCCCTTTCTCCATACCACAAACATCAATAACAGCCACATTCCAATCCCCAAAGTTAAATTTCTTTAAATGCTTTTTTCATTCAAGTACCCTCTTTGTGTTTGTGTTGATTATATAATGTTGTCTTTAATCTGCAGTGTGAATAAGAAACTGAGAGTAACACGTGAATAAAATGAGACACAGTATCCCTTGGATATAAGGATAAACTTTGTCAGTGTGGGTGTTGCTCTTGTGATGTAGCATGGTAACGTCTTTTCAGGTTTGCATAGTTCTAAGTTATAACGTGCCACCTGCTAAAGCACTTTATATTGGCTGTGACTAAAAGCAAAAATGTCCTCTGCTAGTATTGATGAAAAGCGTCCAGCTCTCGGCCACACTTGGATCTTGAACTTACTTCTTAATCCCTCTTGGACCAGCCGCCTGAACAGCAGGAAGAAGGCTGTGAATGTCAAGGGCAGTTGTGAAGGTCACGATCCTGCTAGGACTTGCGTCCACTGCGCCTTCTCGTGGCTTCACAGCCTGCCCCGAAGCAGACTGTTTGAATACAGGAGCATACGCATGTAATTTCATGGTTGGCCTCTTTCTCCTTTTGTTTACAGAAGATGAACTTATAAGTCTGAAAGAGACTTCAGAACAGAATCAGAGAACTATTCAAAAGGTACTGTAACATTTTTACATTGATAAATGACTTTTTTAAAAACTGAACTATCAACACCACTGATGAGATGACCTTGCATCTGGCGTGTCTTAGGATAAAGGGAAAAGTTGGTCTATATATCTCCCAGTTATATAATTTATTATGTAATTATTATGCATTTCTTTGTTACTTTGGGTAGAGTAGCTAATAATGAATAAGAATTGGTTCTTGAAAACTTCTTGGTGTAGTGATACTTCTTTTATGTGGGCTAATTGGGCATCTACCTTGTTGACAGTAAAGAACTGAAAAGCTACATGACACAGGAAAGTTCCAAGATGTACTTTTCATTGTGGGGAGATGATGTTTAAGAACAAGTAACTTCATTTTCTGGTCAAATGTTGGTAGATGTTGGCTGATGTTCATTTTTCTGTACATGAATGAATTCAGCTTATGTTATCTGGAAAATCTTTACTTGGAGCAGGGAATTCTTTTGTCATCACAACAAGGGACGATTTCCTAGAGCATGAAAGGTGGCAGGGCCAGGGCAGTTCTCGTGAGTTCCTTAGGGGGCCCCTGAGTTGCCCTCTCTGATGCTGTACCTCCTTGTGTGGCACTCACCACACTCTGGTGTCATAGCTGGGGTTCTGGGCATCCTGAGAGCTCAGAGGGCACAGGCTGGAGTGTCCCAGACTCTGGATATATTCCTCAGAGCCAAACCTGGAGCCAGGCACCCAGAAGAGTGCTGTCTGAATGATGAATAGGACAAGAAATTGTGTCATGAAATATACAGATGAGCAGGCAGATTTGCATCCCCTAACTATTCCAAATAAACAGAAATGTTTTCTAGCAAGTGAAGCAAGTACCAATGTTTAAAGTTTAGTTCCTCTGGCCCAGGAATCATATTTCAAAAGCATGGTGGCAGCATGTCCCTGAAGTTGGGTTCAGATTTCAACCAGGTTTGATCCTGCAGTTTAGGGTAGTCTTAGATTTTTTTTTCTTCCTGTATTGGAATAGAATCCAAGGCCTTTCACATGCTAGGCACGCACTCTGCCACTGAGCTACATCCCCACACCAAGAACTAAAGCATTTTTTTTTTTTACAGAAATGGTTACCAAATAGATCAGAGTTCTCTGATTACTGAGCCTTACACACACTTTGACAAAATGATTTAATTTTTTCTTACATTGTACACCATTTGCAATAACGGCAGTGTAAATCCCTTCCTATAAAACCGTAACAACAGAGTCTCAAGTTTAACTTATTGATGTCAACCTCTAAGGTTAAAAGTAAAATCTTACCCTTCCAGTGTCACCAACTTACTGGATATGTCTCTAAAGCTACTGTAAGTCTATACTAGCACGGGTGGAAATGAACTGTGTAAGCTTCCTACTCTACATGAGGAACACAATAAGAAATTAAGACCGAAGTCTCAGTGATTACCACTGAGAAGCGTCTTCCGAGTGGCTGCCTGTTGCCTGTGTGAACTGCATAGCAATTGTGTGCTGCCTCGTTTTCCAGATCTGCACCACTCAGGGCTGGCCACTGCCTCGTTGGCCACTGAGCATTTGAAATGTGGCCAGCATAACTGAAGAACTGAAGTTTTATTTTAAATTTAAATTTAAATATAGATTAAAATGTTCAGCTCCCAAATCAAAATATATGCTGGATGAAAAACACACACTAGAAATCAAAGACTCAATATAAAAATGTGAAATAGCTCATCAACAGTGTTTAACACTGACCACACATTGAAATGACATTTTAGTTATATATTGAAATAAATAAAATAAATTATTAAAATACTTTTATTGTGTTACTTTTCACTAACATACCTTAAAATTCAAAATGATATCTATCACTCACATTTTGTTTCTATACGGTATCTCTATTCTAGACAAGAATAGCTGTTCCTGTATCTGCTTATTTTTTTAAAAATCTGATCTCTCTTCTTCACTTTTTCCTTTGTAGTCACTGAAGCTCCACACCAACATTAAATATAGCTCCATTTTGGGGAGCAGTAGAAAGAATCTAGAACTTTAGGTTCTTATTACATTTCTGCCTCTGTGTCACACATAGTCCTGTGACAGTCTCTCTTCCCACCTTTCTGTTTCTCCTGTGCTTACTGCACAGATAGAGTGTGTGGGTAGAACGGTGTGGGTACCACACTCTACAGAGCACTGTAGATGTGAAGGTAGTTTGTCACCTGGATAGGAGATCAAGCTATTGAACAAGTGAAAGCTGATATCAGCTGGTTTGTTCCCATTATTCTTCATAGAGTCAAGTAAGTGCAGGCACGTTTAAGTGTTAGGCACTGCACTACTGCTAGAAGAATAAAATATGTGTATGTGTGTCACCTACTGTGAAGGATATTCAGTCTAGAGGAATAGACAAAAGCTATAAAGCCAGTGATATGACTGTATGAAGTATGTACACAGAGAAGAGATACCTAGAAGCTTCTGGAAGCTTCTAGAAAGGCTTTATAAACTCTTCCTCACACTCTTAAGAAGGCCTACTTCTGCTGATTTTTTTCAGGAAGACAGGAGTATAGGAGAGCTGGCTACAGAGTATGAATGCATCAAGTGTATGAGATATGTTCATGAAATTGTTCACAATTTAGTGTGGTGGAAAATGAAACAGGAATCACATGAGACTGTATGGCAAGAACTTGTAGTCAGTAAGGAAGACCTGGGCATGGGGTTGAGGCATCCTCTTTGTTACCCCTGAGTAAAATAGAAAACAAGTTGAAAATGGCTCTGAATTTGGGAAGGCTGATCCCTTGCCATGAATTAAGCACTATCCATTATGGAAGTCAGTGGCTGCTTTTGTGTTTTGATTTCAGTGATACAGTAACGTCTATATATGTTTCACAGCTGCTGCCACATTTCAGGTGTTTCATTCTAGTAGGGAGACAGACCAGGAGTCAGGGGTGGCTGGCGATGTGTGGCTCAGTGCGCTGTGTGAACACATAGAGACATACCCAGTCTGGATTGTAAGAAACCAGAGAAGGGTGAGGGAAGAAGGCCAGAAGGGTAAGAGTCAGCCAGGAGAGGGCTGAGGGAGAATTCCGAAGGCCGTCTTAAGCCTGTGAGAAAGCAGCTTGCATCAAGGAGGTGGGTGTATGGGAGAGCGCAGGGTGGCTCGGAGAGGACTAGGATTCATGCCACGGGTTTGACTGACCTCTTCAATGCCTTGTAGAACCTTGAAGACTGCATTAAGGTCGGGTTTGTGTTTCAGAAAGAAAATGAGGGGTGGGGTGGAGCCCAAAAGACAAGAGATTAAGTTAGGGAAACTGTGAAGTCCTGAAACAAGAACAATGGTACCGTGGATGTTTATTACATTAATGAATACATTAATTGGATTGATATCAAAAGCAAATCTGAATTTTACCATTGTATTTAACACATGCAAATAACAATTATTTAAAACACTGAGACAAGTCACATGGGTATAACAATGAAGTATATGCTTTTGATGCTATTTTTAGTGAATAAGATTAGAGTTTGATACACACTTAAATATAATGCAAAACCTAAAATATTCATATGAAGAATAAAGCGAAATTGTTCTTTGCAACAGGCCAGGATTTGCTTTATTATGTATTGATGTCACATTTTTGGAAGATGTAAGGAAGGTTACAAATACATTGGCATGTTCTCTATAAATTGATTTCTTTGTATAATAACTATAATAATATATTGCTATAACATAATATCTGGCAGAAATTCAGTTTTTTCTTTGACCATTTTTTTGAGATCCATTTTTCTCATATCAAAATGTTTCACCAAATGATATTGAGAAAGAATTCCCAGTGTTCTGTTCTTGTCTTTAATCAAAGTGTCATTTTTTTTTAATTTCAGTTAATGAACAGTAGAGACAGATTAAAATACGAGCTTGATTGTGAAAAAGTATTAGTGCAAGAAATGGTAAGATGATTTAAATTTTTCCCTAATGAATTTGTTTTGAAGAGTTTAATTCTACCATGAAAGTTTTACAAACTTATTATTATATTATATTAAATTATTATTCATAATTTGTTATGGACTAATTCACTCACCTTTACCAAAAATCTATGTGTGTACTTAATTATAAACATGTTTATGCATTTTTAAGAAAAGTTTGAGTAGTATAATAAATATACTTAGCAGAAGACTCATCTAAGAAATAATATTACCATTTAAAATGGTCCACAATCTTTTCATTTAGCTATGGTAATTTTTAAAAACCCTATATAAGAGCCCAATATTTTGAAGGATTTGCTATTTTTAGTTACAAATTGCCATCAGCGACAACAAAAACAGAGCCCAGCTAGATATTTTGGCATTCTGTGTTAGTCTCATAAGAAAACACTGCCTTTTTATGTTCTTTTAAGAGAACTTTCCGGACGGCTGGTCTTTTATTTTATCAGTTGACTCCCCACCCCCTGCCCCAGCTTATGGAAGTGTGTGCTTTCAACTGATCACCACTAGTATGTCTTTGTTACAGTAAACTGACTGCATGTATTATAATAAAAAATAAAACACAGCTTGACTTGCGTTCTAAATGTGCTTGAAAAGAATATGATACTGTGTAGAAGAGAAAAGGTTGTTCATAGGAAATCAGCACTGCTTCAGATATTGAAACATTCGCTTTCTTACAGCTTGTCACACGCCGTGCCAAGCCATGACTGTTTCCCCAACTCTGTTTTGTTACTCTCAGCACCCTGTGTTTGGGGTTCCTTGTCATAGAAATTAATGCAAAACAATGCTCCTGGATTACAATAAAGCCTTCTATGAAACCAATTTGGGAATGCAGGCAACGGGCAAAAAATTATAACCAGTTATTCACAAAAACCATGTGTTAACAAACACATTATTCTGCACGCCTTACTTTTAAGCACCTGGCTTACAAAAAAACAGTCTTTGTCACTTTTGTCTACTAAGTCATTTTCTTCTACCCCATCCTCCACTGCCCTCAGTCATCTCTGCAAAGTCCAGGCTCTGCTTCCCAAAAACTAACAACCAAATGTGTGCATTAAAATCAAGTGTTTTAATAGGGTGGGAGGCAAATGTGGTAAGTTTGTTAATGGGGTGGGAAGCAAATGTTGTAAGTTTGTTAGCAGAAACAGCCAAGAAATTCAATTACACAGTCAGCAAATTTGAGCCTGTGCTAGGAGCAGACCTCAGACCCTTTGAATTACTTTGCCTCTTTCCCTTTTCTAACTGTAAGCATTTAATGGGTGCTATTATATTTCACACAGGGGAACCAATCACATTTTATTTTGTTGTTTAAGAAATTTGTTGAGCCTCAAGCTTGTTGCCAAGTGTCAACAGCCTGTCTTCCAAACCCCACAAGAGCTTTCAGGATATGTAGAACTAGTTTGGGGTTTATGTTTTCGGGAGAAGAGAGAGAGCTAAAAGTTCTCATTGTCACCAAGGTTGCCATGGCACACCTGCCCTGGGCTAAGTAAGCATAGCCACTGTTTCCTGTCCCCCTCTCCCCCAAGGCCTTCTGTCGTGACTCAGAGGGAAGCTAGCTTTGTTGCTCTCGGGCTGCCGTGTTCTGTGCTATGCTGCTTTTTTCCATAAACCCGGATTTGTGATTGCAGTGATAAGGAAGAGTGGACGACTGTGGAGCTGACCGGTTTAATAAAAATTTAAAACATTCTAATTGAAAAGTGTTTGTTCCACGTCTATCTATTATTATGTCATAGTACAACACAACTTATGTTCTGGGGGCGTTGATACTCTAGTGTAAAAAGATACTCTAGTCAAAAAGCTGGTAGTAAAAAGATGCAATCAAATAATTACAAATAAGTAGTGAAGTATGGAGATATTGGATCCTTAGGGTAAGTTTCAATAGCGCCTATGAAATAATTTCAGGTCTTCCTGTGATTCGTTGGGCCGAGTTAGCCTAGAAATATGAAAACTCACAAAAAAGGGAGAGAGTCCTCACCAAAAAAAAGTATGACGTTTGAATTGTTTCCCTGAGCTAACTTCCACCTGCTCAGTCACAGTGTGTGAGGTTTCTCTGAACAATCCAGAGGTAGGAAGGCAGGGGAAACAGCACCATGTGTCCCCTGAAGTCTGCATGCACCTATGAGCGGATTCCTGAGATCTGAGTTCCCTCCATTCAAGCTTCAGGTCTTCCCAGTCTTACGTCAGATGATGTTCAGCATTCGACCACACTGGTGGGAGACTGGCGTTTCTTCCCATCAATCTGTGCAAACTTCTATTGACATTGATGTTTTAGGGATAGTGAACTTTGGTCAAGGCCAGTGTAACAAGAGCATGGTGGACTGCATCCCTGTATGCCGTGGCTAGCAGAAGAGCAAGTCTTACTGTTCATGTGGTCTGTGTTTCACCATCAGTGAGTCCCTGCCCACTGGTCTGTCAGAGGTGTTCCACGCAGTCTCAGATACTGGAAAGTCCTGCTCAGCTTTCACAGTCTATTTATAAAGCCTAAGAGGAAGATGAATCTTGCGGTGGCAGAGTATCCTTTAGCACCTGTTATCCAAAGTCATCAATGAGGCCCACAGACGCTTGCAGCAATGCACCTTGCCTGAAGTCAGCAGACACAATTCTCTACTTGCAATCGGGTGGTTTATGTCAAGATTCTCAAGTACAGCTTCGCCTAGTTGAAGTGCCCTCCCTCGATTGTGACCTGGTTAATGTTCATTCATTCTTTAGTTCAAATGCTACCTTGTCCCCTCCCCCACTGTGATTAGCTGTGCACCTCACATCCACTCACATGGCGCCTGGATTTCCTCTCCTGGCTCTCATCGCTCTCTGTAGAGATGTCCTACTAACTGATCTCTCTCTCTGTTCACTGCCACTGAGGTACAATATCTGAAAGCAGCAACTGCATCTTGTTCAAGATTGTCCCCTCAAACCTAACATGGGGGCTTCCTTGAATAGGCGCTCTGTAAGTATTTGCTGTGAGTCGGTGAAACAATGAATAACAAAAATGAGTGTGTAAAAATGGCATGAATGACACCTAGTTTATAAACTCGTAAAGGCCAAGGATATAGCTCAGTGGCCTAAGTGCCTGTCTGGCAAGTACAAGGTCCTGAGTTCGATTCCTAGTACAAAAAAATGCTACACAAAATGAAAAATCATTAGAGTATGGTTTCTAGTATTAATGTCTAGGTCCTGTCCCTGTGGGTCTCAAACTTTTTGCTGCTGAGGTGCCAGCTCATCCTGGGTTGCTCAGGACTCTTTTGATCTGAGCACTGCAAGTCCTACAGCGTAGGAATCTCTCAGTCCTGAGTAACTGAGATGGCTGGTCATGCTAAGGGGAAGAGATCTGGAAGCTTCTATCAGTTCAGGGATTCTAAATGTAAATAAATTCACAGACCAGCTCTATTGTAATGAAGAAGATTCTGAGGAAGAATCAAGATTCTTATGGGAAAGAAGGTCCAAACTTTTTAATATTAACCACAATGATATTGATTACCAGTAGAGATTATCAAATGAACTAAGCATTCAACCTGCTCCCACTAAAAAAATTATAAACATATTTGTAAAAGTATCAAAAATTGAAAAGGAAATTAAGAGATAATGGGTCAAACATACAGAGGATCATCTGAGCATTCCAAGTTTGGTTTTCCCTACTGCAGTTTGCACTAAACAAAGTCAAGGTCCCATGCATGGGGTAGGGGAGATAGCTGTGACCTCTCATATTAGCTAGAACTAAAGTCCATTTCTCTAGAGTGAAGTGAATGTGAACCAAAAATAAACCTGTAGCCCCCCAGTACTGAGAAGGCTGCAAGGGAAAGTTGGCTCCATACTGAACAAAGAATGTGGGCAGAGTCCTGAGGATACACAGGGCTTCCAGTGGCTTTGCAACTCCAGTTTGTGTCCAAAGAATCTGAAACCTCCCATTCAGTTGAAGAAGAAGGACTCCAACAAATGCAAATGGAAATACTCTCTGGAGAAAGTACTTTAATCCCAAGTCTCAGAAAATCCTAAAAGTTTCCCTTACAATGATAGGAACCGTGAATATCACACAAAGCAAGGACACACGGAAATAAAGAACCACAAGTGAGAAACAATACGACTACCTCATGGACGGCAGAAGTTGGCATTTTCCTGCAGTATTTACTATTTCTGGCACTTTGTTTCCATGATGGAAGTCAGACTTGATACAGCAGAGGAGAAAAAGCTAAAGGCATGGCAGCAGCTGGAAAGAATGATCAAGGAAGGAAGGAAGAAGATAGGCCCTCCCAAGTCACACCCCCAGTGACCCCCTTCTATGACCAGGCTTGTCTTCCCACCATCATATTTAGCTATGGACTCATCAGTGGACTAACCCACTGCTGAGTATCATGCCCCATGATGCATCACCTCCCCAAAGCCCCATCTATGACATGCACATGAGACTTTGGGAGCCCCTCCAGACATGAACTGTAATAGGCAAGTCCACTTATATACACGACAAATAAATTTTACTATATTTCATCCAATGGAATACTGCTCAGCAATAAAAAGGAATGGCATATTCTTACTCAAAGTAGCAAGTATAAAATTCAAAACAACTATGCTGAGAGAAAAAAGCTGGACAAAACAAATACAGTGGTCCAATGTATATAAAACTTTAGAAGGTGACAACTAATCTATGGTGGTAGAAGGCAGCCCAGTGGTTGTCTGATGATAGAGCAGGATGGCATAGTGTGTTTGTTTATAAGGCACATCAGCAAACTGCAGAGCATGATGGGTATTTCTGTTATCTTCACTATTCTTTCTCCTTACCTGGATGTTCACCACGTTTTCATATTGTTTACTATTCTTCCCTACCTAAAATAGACTTCTCTCCTTTTTCTCTTCATATCTTATTCTTAGCTTTCCTTCAGCTGTGAGTTTCCTATTCTTGGCCCTGTCTTGCTGGTTTTATTCCTCTTTAAATCTCCCAGATGCTGAGTTTCCCTAGACTTAGTATAGCGAGGGCT